TATGTGGTTAATAGTTAATGATGTGTTGTCACGTTAGTGAAAAAGAAGCAGAAAACAAAACTGCCTAATATAAGCATATCTACTTAAGTCGCTGTTTGTGTAGATTACAATCACACCTTGTAAAGGTCGGCATTAAAGAGAAGGAAGAGATCACTTGCGATGCAAGGCAAAATTCTCCGCAACCACCACTTGTCGGTTTTTAATGTTATGTTGAAGTTAAACGAAATTACAATATAAAGGAGTAACATGGCATATAAGCGTAAGAATACTATAAACAATTAATCTAATGTATCCGAAGAGTAGCATAGAGGAAAGGAGAAGAAATTTAAAATCGATAGACAAGAGGGATAATATAATACAAAAATTTATTTGCAACGATTACCAAGGAATGAGTTAATCGAACTTATTTTCGAATTTTTCTGATTACAAGTAAGTGAACCTAGAGGTAGACTTTGCAAATGTTTATAATTATCGTGGTAAAACAAAAAAACTATAGTATAAATAAATAACCTACGATTAAGTCTTATAGACTAAACATGTACTTTGACTTCACCTTCCAAGGTCTGTTATCAAGGAAGAGAGAGAAATCTGGTCCGTTTTTAGTGCTTTGGCTAAGAATACAACAATTTTCTCTTTCCACATTTACATAGGTTTCAAATCGACAACGAACCAGAAATGCCTTCTGTAGGGTCTATTAATAAACACTAGTAATTTTGAGGTGTTGGTTAACCGCGTGTTTATATTTTATATTCAGTAGTCATAAATAAATCTTTTTTTTAATTCAATATTAATTTGATGCCGTTTTCAAGATATTAGATATTTTTAAATATCTGCGGGTAGTTTTTTTTTTTCGTTTTCTTTTTACATGTATCATCGCATGCGTAATGAGATTAGAATGCGTTTTCTATCATCTTCTTCTTGTATTTTAAATTCGATATATGACTTCAAAATATAAAAAATTCGTACAAGACACGCTTGTCCTCAAGTCCATTCGTTCAACGTAAAGTGTAGACCGGTGACCGTTTAGAATAGGAAATTTCAAAGCAAAGATAAGAGTGGGTGTGGGGCCGCAGTTATAGCGAATGCTCCGATTATCCGATCGAGCTTATGACTCCCAGTCCGCGATCGCACCCACCACGTGTAGAGAACACTTTCAGAGTAACTGCTAGCTAGAGAGGTAACAAAAAACCAAGCTGGGAAGTTAGACGCGACTATCACCGAAACCGTTATACCCACCACCACCAACTTGATATTAAAAGATACTAAGAACAAAGAAATGAAATTTTTTCAAAAATTTCATTGAGTGGGCGTGGTTACTGTTTTCCATTTTTATTGAATATGCGTGGAATTTTACCAATCTATCATATCTGGGCACAACACCCAGCTTTGTTGCTTTCGAAAGCAGAGCCATTCTTACTCCATGTTATACGTTGGGCATATCCCTTGTTTGATTACGCGGATTTTCAATAAGGACTTTCTTGCAACAATTTTCAATATTTTTGCTAAATTTGAAGCCGATATCTTAAAGGCCGCGACCAGAAGAATGTTCACGCAGACATTGGCAGCGGAAAAGACAGATCAATGTTTGGTACTATTAGAGAACATATATACTCTGCACGGTCTCTCAAGCTTCCTTCTGTCTGTTGTAGGAATTTTATCAGCAGGTAAACAGATAGAGAGACAGACGGACAGATCAGCATGCTTACATCGATTCTCAATTCGATGATGATCCAAAATAATTTGTGAGGTGTTTTTAACGTCTTCCTGGATGCTGTAAACGTTTGTACAAACTGAATATGTCCTCAGCTTCCAGGGGTGGGTATAAGGATCTTAAGAAAAAAACTTAACTCTTAAGAAAAAATAAATTTGTTTGCTGTGATTTGTTTACTCTTACACATATAGAGGCGATTTCTCTTTAGGCTCTCTGAAGCAAATTTTTAGAATTGTGTATAACGGCATCGGTCCCTGGCGCCCAATCTTTTAGTCGGCCTATTAACTTCCGAATCAAACATCCGAACTATCTTTTTTTAAACTCTCTAAATTTCTTTTAGCATTTCTTTAGCTATTATTAACAGTTTCCTGATGGTGTAATGTGCCATCTTAGGCTTGTTATATCTATGAGATTCAATCAAAATTCCTCGTTTCTTTCTCACTTTGTTCATAAGAAAAATAAAAAAATTAATATCTGGGTCAATTTTATTACGAGAGAGAAAGGCAATCGTTACAATGGGATACGAAAGGCATATTTTTAAAGCATGACGTCAAGATGTATTTTTACAGAAGACATTTGCTCTTGGAGATGAACGGAAAAATATTGCTTATGGCAATTAAAAGTACTTGCAAGTAATTCATATATATCATGTATTCTTTATTGGATGTTTACAGTCAAGTTATTTAACATTCGAAGATGAATTGCAAACGAAAATAGTCTTAGACATGTAAGCTTTAATTAAATATATTTATATATATTTGTGTGTATGTATTCATATCTGCTTAATATTCCATTTATTCTATTTTAACCTATAAATATTTTATTGCAGTTGACCTATGACTTCAGTTTTTTTTTCCTATTTCCGGTTGGATCTTTTGACTTTAATAAAGAGAAATTGATGAGGGATTTCAATATTAGCTGAATACACATCTCATTTCAGTATTCCCAAAAAAAAAAAAATTATTTTGTAGAAAGTTTGAAATTTACGTCATTGCCAAGCTATTGCGTATAAGCGGTTTGGTGAACCACATCCTATATGAGATTAGGTTACCTCGACTTCTGAGAGCCTGAGACATACAATTGCAAGACAAAAAGATGTGGAGGTGCGGTCAGACGTGTTCTCAACCTTTTAAATATTTCAGTCTTTTCCGGTATGCGTTTCCGTTTGATATTAACAGTACATACCCTAGTGTTTGTAGGAAGACAAGCAACAACGGATTTTTTCACACAATCACCGCATTTTCACTGCTTCCGCGGTTTGTTTTTTAAAATTATGTGCAAAAGTTTACTTTAACCCTTTGACGCATTAACAATAAATGCAAATTGTGTTCATTTTTTTTCCTCTTTCAAAATTCATCCGCGGTTATCGGAACCTTTCGCGAACTGCCTCCCTATTGCAAAACAAATTCTGAATTCTGAGTCTATAACTTAGCAATGTGAGTATGTCTCAGAGCATTCATCATAATTAATCCAATTAATCGGTTATGCATCTTTCTCCCACGCTTGGTGCTCTGCTATGTTTTTGGTTGCAGCATATATTCGAGGCTTGTTCTTCTAAATACTTTTCGGAAGAACCACTTAGACTCTTTCGAGAACGTTTTGCCCTACAATGAAAAGATCGGCCCGGAATAGCCGGCTACAACAACTATGCTTATCCTTCTCAAGTGCTTTGGACTTTGTTAGAGCCCGATTATGGTGTAGCCTTGGGACAACAGTAAACGATTTCTAGCCTATAAAAGATTCCTTAGGAATTTTTCAAGCGCAATAGTATATAGCTGGAAAAGCATTTATGACTAACTTATTAAAATATGTTGGCCAAAGATTCCTTTCGATCACGATATGCAGTTACTTCCCGGTCATTAAATGTTGCTCGATGTTGTTAAATGCAAAAAAACCACACTGAGCCGTCGTCGAAGACTCTAAGTTGAGTCCTCTATTATTTTATCTTCACCTTTCTAACCCAATTATTCTGCCCCTTTCTTCTTTTTCTTTCGATGATCGAATTAGTGATTAAGTTAGTGTTTAAAATATAAATGCAACTGAGTTCCGCTTTAATGCGGAATCCTGTGAGTCACGAACTTGGAGAATAATATTTCTGTTATTTCCATAATTTATACCGAAATTAATTACAATAGCATTTTATTAAATTCTCCGATATAATTAAGTATTAATTAATTTATAGGACGCTTAAAATACTTGTAATTTTATGGCTTTCTTTGTCCTTCCTTAGCTCATAATTTTAATTTTAAGATTAGCGGAAAGGATTACCTGTCTTTTCTCATAGTACTGGTTTGATTGAGAGATGGATGGACTATGCATTGTTCAATTAAGATAATCAAATAAGGAGACAGTTTGACGACATTTGAGCAAAGGGATATCTTTGATATGCTTACATTTATCAAGATGAGCAATGTATAGCACTTAAGGCATTTAATGGTAAATGAAAGGCACTATAAATGACACTATACATGTGTACTCTAGGTTTGTTTTTTTTCAATTCTCTCAGCCTAAGTGCATAGGTTTAGATATTTGTATATTAAGACTAATGTATTCTCTTTTAGACTATTTTGCTTGGATAGTTTTAGATTCGATGTCGTCGAAAAGGAATTTTCTCTGATTCTTTTTATTTTATCGATGTGAGGACATCAAGATACTAAACATTGATACGAATGGAAAGTTTTCAAAATGTTTTCACTCAATTTTCTTAATTGATTTAAATTTTGAATGGGTTTCCTTTTCTTCATTTGCAGATGCCTGCGGTTTATCGGATGTAACGCATATAGAATCCCTGCAAGAAAAATCTCAATGCGCCTTAGAGGAATATTGCCGCACGCAATATCCAAATCAGCCTACGCGTTTTGGTAAATTGCTGCTAAGGCTGCCATCGTTAAGAACGGTTTCGTCACAAGTAAGTGCTAAAGCAAGAAACCAAAAAAAAAAAAAAAGAAATCGCTTTTTTTGTTTTTTGTTTTTTTTTTGCCTCTAAATTTAAGATCTTTATTGCTCTCCTGAAAGCCTGTATTGCCTTGGGTTGTATTTCAATTTTTGTCTTTTTTTTTCGTTGTCTTCTTTTTCTTTTCCTTTCTTTTCTTTTCTTTTGGAGCTTAGGTCATTGAACAATTATTTTTTGTCCGTCTAGTCGGTAAAACACCTATTGAAACGCTGATACGTGACATGCTGCTGTCCGGCAATAGTTTTTCTTGGCCTTATTTGCCATCGATGTGACACACAATGTGGCGACAATTAACAACAACTTGATCATCCGCTGCCGCCGTAGCAGCTGCAGCAGCTGTTGCCAGTCAACATCAGCCTATGGTAGCAACAGCAGCAGTAGCAATGCAACAACACCAACAACAACAGCATTACTCGAGTTATGTAGCAGGCAATAATGCGGCTCATAGCAGTTCAGCCGAAAGCAATTACGCAGCTCTAAGCAATAGCAGTAGCAGTTTGGTAGGTGGCAGCGAGTGCAGCGTTGACGTCGAAAATAATTACACGAATACTAATATAACAGCAACAGCTCCTAATCGGGCCAATGTGACGGCAGGGGGCTTCGCAAATTCTTATTCCATGAATATGAGTTCATTGAATGCTGCCAGTTTCTTTGCAAACGATTATCATCATCACCATCATCATCATCATCACTCGCTAACCCCGAGTGCCTTTATGGCGAATACGAATTACGCAGCCGCTACAAATGCGAACGCTTCGGCGGCCAGTTCTACTGCTATGTTAACCAACTATTGCGATGCGGCGATGATGATGGCAGCAGCCGCTGTCAATGCTAATCAATGCCTGCAACAACAACAGCAACGTTTTGCTCTCATCAATGAAAATGATTTGCAGCGGGAGGCCGATGCAACACAAGATGAAACTAGAGCCGTTAATTCTTTGGTGGCGACTGCTTTGTCGTCGTCAGCTTCGTCGTGCTCGTCCGTTACAACATCAGCGTCCTCCGCAACGTCTTCGATTTCGACTGCTCCCTTAACTGCAGCCGCAGTTACCGCTACTGACGCTGCCGATGACTTGATTTTGAAAAAGCAACAACAACAGCTGCGTTTAGCAAAACAAGCAGAAACACCGCCAAATTTAATCGATATTAGCGAAGTTCCTCTTATAGTGGATGTCAAGTAGTACGATAATAATATATAAAAATAAAAAAAATTTAAAAAAACAAAAAAATGAATAGAAAAAAGTTAAATATATATATATGTATATATACAAAAATCTAAAAAAAAAAAAAAAAACAAGCAGAATAGTTTTTGGTAAGTTTTTTAGTTAAATGTTTTATATACACATTGCTTAAAAAAAAATGTATAAATTTTTCCAAAACTATTTTGTGTATAAACTATTTTTTTTTTTTTTATTTATTTATTTAGTTATTAGATTTCAATTCAAGACAAGTCTAGAAGTCAAGTTGTGGTCCTTTTTTTTGTTTCTGTTACGAAAGCCTTACGATCTACGACTTTAAACTTGAGAAGCACAAATACTAAGATGTAGAGGTAAAAGCTCAAAATTTCTACTGAGTTTGTAGACAAATGAAAATACAATCTTTTTATATCAAAAAAAAAAAAAAAAGAGAAGCAATGTTGCATTTGGAATTTCTTTAATCTTTAAAAAAAAAAAAATTGTTATAAATATTCGCTCAAACTTTGGCTTAATATATATATACATTTTTCATTTTTCGTTTTGCAATTTTTTTTTTCTCTCTGACTTCGGACGACATATCTTAACAAAAACAAAAAAAAAAAAAAAAAAAACAAAACCAAACAAAACATTTTCATTATAAAAAATTTACGTAAAACGTAATCCTGTTAGTGTTGTAATATAAATATTCTGTAAAAAAAAAAAGGAAAAAAAATTATATTTTGTAAAAAATTATAGTAAATGAATTTTGCTCGTATTGAAGTGAAATGTTCTGTATGTGTGTGTAAAAAATTCTCTATTGTGAAGGCACTCAATTATACTTAATCGTTAAATTTTGTTTAGATATAAACTAATATTAAAAAGGAGAAGAAAAACTTTTCTTATTGTTAAAAGAAACATTCTCAACTACTCCCACACACATATCCGATATTAGAATTATGTGTGTATGTATGCATATATGTATATGTATATATATATATATATATATGTGTATATATGTATATATATGTAGATATGTAGATTACATTACTTTGCACAATTATACCAAAAATTTTTTAAATTTTTTATGTTTTTCCTCTTATTAATGAAACAAAAAAAAAAAAAGGAAACTAATTCAGTGGCAATTTAATTAAAAATTTGATTTATGTAAAGACTTTGCAGAAAACAAAAAAAAAAAAACATCTAAAAGATGGAGACGCTTTATTTCTTTTTTTTAACATTATTTTAATTTTTTTTTATTTTTTCTAATTGTGTTTTTACTTTTATTATTCAGCATCAAATTTAATTTTTTTTCCGAACAGTGACAAAATATTTTGAGAAAAATCCTGTGCACTCGGTGTGAGAGATCTTTAGCAAGTAGGCAATAGGCAAAGTGAGATCAACGTAGAGAGATGAACGTATTACGAATAGTTGTAGATACGTTGTCGATGACAATTTATTATAAGTGTACGATTTTCAATTCGTTCTTCCCTTTTACGGGAAAAATATTTTCCAAATATTTCCAATAATTTCCGAAAGGAATCAAAGAAATTAAATATCGAGTTTTTATCTTCGATTGCAAACGTTACACTAGCAAATGCACCGATCATAAGCCGGACGGAAGGACGGATGGATGACTACAACTATGTGATATAAGATACTTTGAATAGAATACTTACACTATTTACTTAGTCAACTTTATTAAAAATTTCTTTTATTTGAAGGATTTAATCCATGGATGTGAGCGGGGTCTACCGACTTTTCCAAATTTTGTTTTCCGTATTTAAAAAAGAATATTTGCAATAAGTCTTTGTTCTTGTGAGTATTCTGAGTATGTCACAAGTAGAGAGTTGTCTACGTAAAGTTGGCTAAATTGGTACTGAAGGAAATGATCTCGAATGCATTGACGCATCAAAGAAATTTTCTATTAATCTCTCTAATTTATCAAAGTGACGTCCAAGTTGTCTCATGAAGTGCGATTTCATTTGTTCCTATAATATCTAGACGCCATTAAATTGAAGATCACTCATCTCTCTGCGGTCGGTGATCCACAACGATGACAACCTGGTCTTTTCGCAGGATATCCTTTGGGCAATGATAGCAATAATCAAGCACCTTGAGGAAAGCTCGGATCAATCAAAATGACCTATCGAAACTTCCATAGAGTATCTAATAAGTATTCTTGGTTTTGTCGAAGGGACGTGAAATTTCACTTTTTAAGTGATTCCCGACAAATGTCTCTTGAAGACTGTCCGCTGTCTGAGGGCTATACTCGTTTCATAAGGATTGTTTATTAAAAATTTGGGTACATTTCACTCTTAGCCAGGAGAACTTTGCCGTTTGCTTCTTCTAACCTTCTGGAACTTGAGAATTCGCATTATTCTTAAAAGCAAAGAAGCAGGAGTAAGTATATGCTCTGTCACTCACACCTATCAATTAAAAGTTCTATCAAATAATGCTGTGTTCAAAACGTAAAAACAGTTTTATTTTATCTTTTTTGAATTCAATTGTTATCCCAAATCTATTTCGTCGCTTTCAGAGATGCTGTGCACTTATGGCAACTTTTTTTTCGAGTCTCGAAAGAGTTGTTATAGTCGATTTCCGGAATGGTCTTCAAAGCTTTCGGCGATTCAGCTTGTATCTCTTCAATCGGGTCAAAACGTTATCCCCGAAGAGATCCTTCGAGTTTAGGGAATAGCCAAAAGTCACGTGTGGGTAAGTCAGGTGAATGGGACCGTGGAGGAACCATATGGGTTGAACTTTTCGCGAAATTATCTCGAATAATCAATGAGGAGTGAGATGGTACATTATCGAGTTGGACAAACCAAAAACTATCTTGCCACAATTCTGGGTCCTTTTCGAAAAAAATTCGTTCTTAACAATTTGGCCCGAAATTCATCACTTTGATAATCGAGAAAAACTGTCGACATCAGCTTGACTTTTGAACGATTATGGCGCGGTTTTTTCGGTCTTGGCTCGCTTTTTGTACAATATTCGCTCGACTGATCGATTGGTTCCGGGTCGTAAGCGTAGATTCAAGTCTTATCTCTCGTAATAATGTGTTTCATGACCAATTGATAGTCAAGACATTCATAGATTTGAACGCGATCGTCTTTTTCAAAGAATTTGAGCGTTTTTGTTGCCGATCTCTTAATATGTTATTGACTGATACGCTTTAAATGCCAACAACGTCAGTCAGATCTCTAATTGCTAATCGATCAGTTGTTCGGGCCGAATCTTTGATTCGTTTGTCGGAAATTCCGTCGGTAGAGGTTGATGGGCGTCGCTATGAAGACGGTTTTCGACCGTAAACCGTTCCACCAAATTTATTACATCATTTGCAAACACTTGCTTCCGACATAGTGTATTCACCACAAGATATTTTATTTCGCGAATAAAACTTAATGTAATTTCTTTGCTCAACAAAATCACTCATTGTATAAATCGGAAAAAGTAAGTTTGGTGCGTTGTGTACAGCCAAGCGCAGCTAAAATACTAATAATGTTTACGATGTGAAATCTGACCCAGATGTGTGGCATAGCGTGATCAATTTGGAAAATACACGCCCGCAGAGTTTGGACACAGTATTATATAACCTTGATTAGTACAATTTTGAATCGATTTAGTAAAGTTCTGTTGCCCGCCTTTTCAAAAGTCAATCTATCGTTGTGAGAGGCTCATCCCCCGCACAGTTCAGAAAATATTGTTTTCTTGAAGTGAAAATGAAGATCCTGGATATTTAACGTACTTCCTCGGGTGTAGACCTTTTTTTTTATTTCTTTATGTTCACTAAAATTATACTCAGTTTACTTTACTCTTCTTTGGCTGACTTTGCCAGGCAGCCGCGTAAACGTTTTTTGTTATTTTTATTAATAATAATTTTATTATTTTTTTTTTTTTGTCAAGTTGATTTTATTTATATTTAGTTTATTATGTGTAAATTTTTGTTTTTTTTTTTTTTTTTTTTTTTTTTATAATAATTTTTATAAAATTTATAATAAAAAAAAAAAAAAAAAAAAAAAAAAAGTGAAAAATATTTTTTATAATTTTTTAAGTTAATC